ACTTGCAATGGGTAACTTCACACAATACGAATCAAACTGGCTCCTTCCCCCTCCATCACCCCCAAGGATGCACTGAGCAATGTTGAGTTTTGTTCGCACTGTACTTTCTCTCTCCTCCCCAGACGTTAACCCTGGCTGTCGCTAGGTATCCCGATGAAAATAGCAATAATCCAAAAAAAAAAGTTAGAAGGCGTGCAGGGGACGATGGGAAGAGGGAAAAGGCTGTACCCTTAAGGTGGCTCCGTAATTAATACAAGAGCATTTAGCTGTGACAAATTTTCCGTCATAACTTTTTGGTTATTAACGCGATGGCTGCGAAACTTTGCAAAGAACAACAGATATCATTCGGCAATAACACGAAATATTCCGATTTCATTGATGGTAAATATTTCTTGAGAAATTAGCGCTTAAAAGGACCCTACTGTTCAAAGAAAATCGCGTCTAGTAAAAAATTTTGCTGATATTTTTTACTGAAATTTCTGGTATCGGCTTTAATTGATATAATAAATATGCTAGAGGAATTTCAGAAAAATCGTTGGAGCAGAAGTCCGAAACTAAAAGTCGCTCAAAATTCAGCTGTGAAATTGTTTTGGAATTTCAAAAATAAATTACTATCGGGTAGAAGGAGTCACCAGTTTGAATTTTCGTGACAAGTAAATTCAACGTTTTCTAATTCTTAAAACAAAAGCCGATTGCCTATCGTGCTATTCTTTAAAAGGTACTGTTTAGTTGTAGAAGCACTATAAATTGCTCCAAACCTTGCTCTGAGGTAGAATTACTTGTTCTTCGACATTTTTAAAATATCCCATGGCAGTTTTGGTTCAAACTCCTGCTGCATACATTTTGGTGTATTGCAATGCATTTTCAACGACTTTTACTTCTGTTCGTTGCTTCCAACTCAGGAAAAAAGTATTGAGATTGGACGCTACCTCGTATCAGAGCTCAGATAGAACTGTCCAGCACCTTTGTTTATGACTACAAAATGAGCACGAGCGGCAGTTCTGCGTGGAATTCGCACCTCACACAGGGGGGACGAACGACATCGATGACCATACCTGTGAACCGAATAACATCACAGTCCAAAATAAAATTATCGCAAAAATACTGCCCGTGAATAAATTTACAACTCTGGAATTTTTGTCACTCCTTCCCTCAATGAATGGGTATTTTTTCTTGATTATTATGTTTTGCTCTGCAATACATACAGATCGGTTCACAGACATGGGCATCATTGTCATTCGTCCCCCCTGGCTGAGGTGCGAATTCCTCGCACAAGTGCCGCTCGTGCTCATTTTCTGGTCATAAACAAAGGTGCTGGACAGTTCTATCTGAGCTTTGATACAAGGTAGCTTACAATCCCAATACCTTTTTCCTGAATTGGAAACAACGTACAGCAGGAAAAGCCGTTGAGGATGCATTGCAATACATCAAAATGTGTGCAGCAGGAGTTTGAACCAAAACTGCCAAGGGATATTTTAAAAATGTCGAGGAACAAGGACAACAAGTCATTCGAAGTCAGAGCAAAGGTTTGAAGCAATTTATAGTGCTTCTAAAACTGAACAGTACCTTTTTAAAGAATAGCACGATAGGCAATCGGCTTCTGTTTTCAGAATTAGCAAACACTGAATTTACTTGTCCCGAAAATTCAAACTGGTGGCTCCTTCTCGCTGATGGTAATTTATTTTGAAATTCCAAAACAATTTCACAGCTGAATTTTGAGCGACTTTTAGTTTCGGACTTCTGCTCCAACGATTTTTCTGAAATTCCTCTGGCATATTTATTATATCAATTAAAGCCGATACCAGAAATTTCAGTAAAAAATATCAGCAAAATTTTTTACTAGACGCGATTTTCTTTGAACAGTAGGGTCCTTTTAAGCGCTAATTTCTCGAGAAATATTTACCATCAGTGAACTCGGAATATTTCGAATCATTGCCTAATGATATCTGTTGTTCTTTGCAAAGTTTCGCAGCCATCGCGTTAAAAACCAAAAAGTTATGACGGAAAATTTGTCACAGCTAAATGCTCTTGTATTAATTACGGAGCCACCTTAACTAACAGCAAAACTGGGAAAACCGTGAACACCAGAAATATTTCTGGAATGTTATTGTGTTGCAAGGAAAAAGCCAATCAGGCGAGAGAAAGTACTAAACCGCAACCAAGAACTTTAATTAGTTTGTGTTTTTTTGGCTAGTTTGCGTGTCCTGATCTTTGCTCTGATTGGTCACAGCACAATAAACATTCCTGAAATATTTCAAGTGCTCACTGTTTTCTCGGCTTGACTGTAAATAGGCCCGATAACTGTTAGTCTTTAAAACGGACCTTAAGATCCGACGACGGCGACGGTAACGAGAGCGTCAAAAAAGCAATAGGTTTAATAACCAAAACAACAAATTTGCACGTGCATCACGCTTCTTTGTACATTTCTTTGCCGTCACTGGACGACTACGACGTGAAAATGCCTAATTTTACGTTTTACAGGGGAAGTACATAAGCGACGAAGAAATTTCCTCTCTCTTTCTGAACTTGGATATGGTTCTTAGCAATTCAACTTTAGGAGGGTTTACCTACATTTGACAAAGTTAGTGACTTGGAGTAATCACGATGAAGATTGAAAGAACGCGAATTCACTTTTTCAGCGACGTTTTCGCCGCCGTCGCCGCCCTCAGATCTTAAGGTCGCTACTAACATTGTTGGGCGGCGGAGGGGAGGGTCAGTGTCTCAGACCCTGTCCACACAAATAAATACGCTTTCAAAAATATGAGTTTTCGTTGCCATCGAAAACGCGTCGATCGATTCGCGTCCACACTACCCTTTTGAGGGATTTTCGGCTGTCCACACTAAAACGTTTGAAAACGATAAAAGCAAGTAAACTATGGGCATGCTACAAACACACGCGCCTGTGATATTTTCGGTCATCGTTTTCATTTTGATGCGATCATTCACACTCATACGATATGTATGCCTATTCGTTTTGATCGATACGTTTTCGATGAAAACGCCCAGTGTATTAGTGTGTACGCAAGGCCTAAACGCATCGAAATGTACGCGTTTTTAAACGAAAACGCATTGATGTCGACGGGGCCTCAGTCACGTGAATTGGAAAAGTGGTTCTTACCAAGAGAGCATGGAGATTACTTCGCGTTTCCCTGGAAACGCTTCCAGTAATTGTTTCAATGATAAATGCTCTGGTATAGATCTCCTGTAAGAGTCGCTGATTGTCTTATATTGCTTGTACCAATGAAGCAGACTCAGAGGCCTAAAGTTTTAGGCCACATGACGGGGTTAGTTTGAGACGCGTGGGGTGTCATAGGAAGGGATGAAGCAAAAATCAGTTTCAAACTAGGTCAATCTTGCTTAGCAGCTACTGAAGTTGATTACATTTGTTTTATTTTTACGTTGGTAATACTTGGTAATACAAAAATTATCACCCGTAATGATTAACCATTCCTTCTGGTCTAGGCTAGCAACAATTAGCCCTAACACTTCAGTCCGACGAATTAAGATCGCTGAGTGAGTCGGCCCACACAAAATTATTGCAAACTTTGACCTGAGCTAGTTGTAGAGTTATAAGCCATTGCATTGTTTGCAAATTCAAAAATCCGCTTGAAGTAGCCATTCAATTAACAAAACTAAGTTAAACGTCGGTCAATTTTGAAAATTTACAGTGTCTGCGACGGGTAAATCTAACTTGAATTGGAACAGAAAAGTTCTGTCTTTAACAGCTTGACTAACTTCGCTGACTTTTCAATAATAAAGCAATATGGATTTAATGACGAATTTGTTAATTTTTTATTAACTGAGTAAACAAGTTTCGCATTTTACCCTTTTCTAAAATTTAAATAGTGGTAGTATCTCAGCCAGCTGTCGGTCAACATTAAAACGTGAACGACAGCCTCCAGAAAGAAAATAGAAAGTGGTTTCACTTGGCCCAATAAAATGTCAGGTGATAGTGAATGCCGCCAAAAAATCATATGAGTAATTAAAAATGTACATAGCAAGGTTGTCATACCGAAGGCTATTTTGTGTTATATTGAAAGCTTAAAAAGTTAAAACATCCCCCGCTTTCTCGATCAATTTTGTTAAGCTTCATAGGAATGGAAGAAAAAGGCAAAACGAAAGGTGTTTTCATTAATCCAAGCTATGAACACCTCTTTGTCTACACTCTATAAAAACGTCTATACGCCTTCCGTTTTTTCGCCCAGTTTTCCGTGACATAGAGAAGAAAAAGAAAATTTTTTACTTTTTAATATAATTGCATCCGATCCTCTTCATCTTTCCTACAAATCTTTTGAATGAATATATAATTCCAACCCTTTTCCTCCGATGTCAACCCTAACGCTTATATCTGAATCCTACTATGTTATGTTTTTATAAATACAGGTTTAGATCACAAGAACGTAGACGAACGTAGACACAGATGATTATATATCTTCTACATCGCTAACTAATGCTGAGCTCTAAAGCGGTATTTTAAAACTATAATTACGCCAGTTGTTAATAATTCAAAGCTAGTAAACAATACATCAAGAAGTCAATCATTTTTCGAAGTCTGTCATGTTTTACGCAAGTAAAGTTAAATACAGTAAGGATATCACCGCATATTAACCCTCGGACATCCACCTTTAGTGAAAAGCCTTTGATCTTCTTAACAAGATGAGGTATATTTTACGGCTGGTGGAGCTGCTGGAGGCCTATGACGTAACCAACAATGGTCGCCATCTTGAATTTTACCAAGAATTAGAAATCAGGTTAAAACCGCGAGAAATGATAATTTTTTGTGCTTTACATGAAAAATAACACATAAATAAGCACTTTGCATGATTTTAGCCACAAGATTCACTTTTATTGTTGAAAGAAGCTGAAGAAACATGTATTTTCACCCAAAATTGACTTGACCACCTGCTACTTATGACGTCATATCTCGTAACCATAGCAACGAACAGCTACTGAAAACGTCAGGTGCTGATGTTTTATCGGAAGGTTAAAAAAATGGTTAACTAATTCGATGAACAGCGAAGCCCTCTCAATGTTTCTTTCACAGCTTGCCTTACTTCTCTGATCTTCCAACAGTACAGCAAGGGGTTTAATGACGAGTTTAAGAAAACCACGGTAATTGTAAATTGCCAGGTGAGGTACATGGATATAGGGATTCGTCTTTGGGATGTTAAAGCTACCATTATAGCCACTGGCAGATAACAAACAACCAATGTTACCTGCACCCACAGTGCACTGTACACCGCCTTTCTGTATCGAGCTATGTTCAGTGGAATTGCTTGGTTTAGTTGCCTTTGAAAAGTGGTGGTTTGAACATGAATTCGGTTGTGGCGAAGGATGAAGAAAATTTTTGTGTAGGCGAAAAATGTGATGAAAAGGCAGAGAGCTGTGCCTATGTATTGACACCATGCGGGTATAACAGGATTCAAAAACTGTGATGATGCGTAGACGATGGAATAGATCCAGAAGCCAATTATAGTTACACAAACTCTTTTAAAAGTTACAACTTGTCTGTATCTGAGCCCCATCGACAAAGCGAGAAGTCTGTCCACGCTTATTGCCGTCATTGTCAAAAAGGACACTGAAAACAAAATATAGCTTGCACTTAAACCAGACACTTGTGCATAAAAGCAAACATCCCACCTCTCTCTTACTTCAGACATCAGGTACACAACGTACAAAGGCTCTGCAGTGATACCAACCAAGAGATCAGTTATCGCAAGGTTGCGAAAAAGGAGTTTGGACGGCGGATGAAGTGAAGTGTCCTTGTACAGGGCAAGTAGGATCAGAGTGTTCTCCAGAAATGCAGTGATGGACAGAAAAGTATTTAGCGCTGAAAGAAAGATAAGCTCGCTGTGTACTTTTCCTGTAAATTCTGCCTTGCAAAACAGTCCACTGAACGTTTTTTGGCTGTTGTCTTGGGTAAAATTTGTGAGGTCCGCCAT